CTTCCTTCTTTGGTTCACTCTCCCGTATTAAAGGAGCCATCCCCTAGTAGCTTTAAATGAGTTTGGGTTTTTATTGCCCCTGTTTAGAAAAAAAAATAAAATATATATATATATATATACACACACACACACACACACACAGGTAATTTATAGGATGAATATGTTTTCTTTTTGTCTGATGTAGTGCTAAAGTGTCCTAACAAAAGCATACCTCAGAAACGTTAGAAAAGTTAAATTATAATTTTTCATACAGATGTAAAATTTGGAGCAACAATAGTGTTTGTATTTTACTTTCTAAAGTTCTGGAAAACTTCTGATTTTCAGTTATTCAATTAGGCCTAAGTGTATCTTTTCATTTTAACAGTTTAATTGATGTGTAGTTTATGTATCCTAATGCTGTAAACATCTTTTGAAAGGATGTCAAAGCATTTCATTGGGGGTATGACAGTTCATAATTTTAGAGTCAGGTGTTTTGCTGAAGTTTTATTTCATAAATATAAATCTCTATAATGAAATTGAATACATGTTAAATTTTTTCCTTACAAATGATAGCCTAATATGAATTTATATTTTAATAGCAAGAGTAGTTGTGTCATGAAAGTAAGTGTAGTCTCTGAAGGCCATAGGTGGTTGTTCAAAGAGATCAGTGTTCGGTTCAAGCCGGCTTGACTCCAAGGAGAGATAGGCTCTGCCGTCTTTCCACTTCTCCCAGAGGGGTGTCAGCAGCATTTCTGCTTTTGCCCAGAAATGTCTGAAGTGGGTGGGGAGAATTTGGTTGAAGAGATCCCAAAGAGTACAGAGGGGGCTTTCAATTCTGCTGGAGCAAACAAAACAAAACAGAAACAAGTGGGGTTCTGGAATAAAATGAGCCCTAGCCCCATTCATTTCTGGCGGTATCTGAGCACGGTAGCCGGTGAGATGAGCCCACTATCCATGGAGGGAAGGTGGCTGCTTTCCCTAGTCTCTTGCTTGAGCAGCTTCAAAAGCTCTCACAATCACTGACTTCTGACTGGTGAACAGTCTTTGGGGGAATGGATCTGACGATGGCAATGTCACAGGAATTAGTATGCAGAGCCAGCGTGTTGCTCATGGGCAAGAGTATTCCTTTTGAACTGCTTGGACCATAAGGCACGGAGGAGAGGTTGGAGGGTGCCGGGTCCCCTGCTCCTGTGCAAGACATCTCGGCCAAACTTGGAAGAAGTGGCTCTGCCATGACTCTGTCGCTTGAACATTTCTTTTATATGACAATATTTTAAAGTAAATTAATGGACAGCTTTTAGAAAAGCTGAGCATGTCTGTATTTTAATGCAATGTGGACTTGGAAACGCTCATTTGAAAAGAGAAGAAGAAGAGGAGGAGGAAAGATGATGGCCTATGGAAACAGTAATACGAATGTTGCTGTATGTTTAAATGGACCACAATAATATATCAAATATCTTTATTTACATGTATATGCATATACTTATAAATTACATTGCCTTTAAAAATGAAAGGTATTTTATCACTATAACGCTGAGCGTGACGTTTTCATAACACTTAATTAAAATGTATATATTAATATATATCGATAACTATGAAAGTGAAGAATAAATTAAGAATTCAGGCATTATAGGGTTAAATGAAAGGCGGCAGTGTGTTATATTTTAAAAAGCAGAACACTGAAAGTCAGGATAACTGGGATCTTGCCCTGTCTTAGCCTCCAGGACAGTTGAATCCTGGGAAATTCCCAACCCCATCACTTCCCCTGCCCCTGGGACCACCTAGACTACTCACTTTTTCTCATGAGAATAATGAGGTTGTAGATAGAATAATTATTAAACTTCCTGTTATGATTCTGTTATTCCAACATACAATATGTGCTTTCCAGAAGGTTTATGTCTTTTTCTGAAATTAAGTAGCTTTAGGCATTTCAATGTTTGCTAAGGCAGCAGTGGTTCACTTTGGGGTGCTGAACCTAAATAAATTGGGGCCGATTTCCAGTTGCAAGAACCTGGTTGGTGGGGGTTGGGGGACTGGGGTTTGGATGAAAGTTTATAGAGCATTTGTTTCCATTTCCACAATTCATAGCCATTGTGTTTTGTAGCATTTATTGCAGTGCCCTAGATGGGACAGCCTCTTCCTGCTTCCTTCCTGGTTTCCCAGTATCCATTCCACACTTTCTTGCCCCTTCCTGCCTTGTGAGCTTTGTTTTGGAGCTTTGCTCCCTTATATGTTCCTCACAAGGATCCTCGCTATAGGCCTGCCTGTTGTTTGGCTGTAAGGTGATCCCCCTTGGGGTACTTTCGGTTCCAGGCTCAAAGAGTATCTAAGGAGGAGGTCGTTTATTGTGTCAACCTGGCTGATGAACACATGTGGGGTTAATTGAAGGGTGGGGAGGTAAATGGCTCTGTGAGCCTTGCCTTTCGAGGTCTCCGGTCTCTTGCTTTCTGATGGTTGGACCAGGGTGCAGCTGCCTTAGCCAGTTCCCTGGCAAGGCTCATTTCCTGCAAGACATCCCCAAGGAGAAGCCACATGGACTTACCCTGATCCAGCCCTGAGTGCTGGAGCAGCTGTGTAGAGACCCCTGCCAGCGCTGAGATGTTTACATGTTCACTGATTCAGTGTGTGTGTGTGTGTGTGTGTGTGTTGTGAGATGGAGGAGGACTTTGTGAGTTGGTGTTGGACATATGGGTTAATGGGTTAATATTGGATTTGTGGATTTGGGCAGCACTGGGTTGGGATGTTTTCTTGATGTGCACTTACCCTTTATATAAAACTCTCTCTTACACATGAGTTTCTGTGGATTTGTTTCTCTAATGTACCTAGACTAACACAAAGTGCCTTAGTCCTGGGGGCTCTACCAGTCTTTATCAGACTGAGAAGTCCTTTCTTTTTTTGTGATTGTGAATTTTGCTTTACATTTTTCTCCCATTCCTGACCAGGTTTGCAAGGACCTCTTGATATTTGCTTAGCTTAGTAATTGCCCATACAGTGCCCTTAAATGGCACACAGGGACTCTGATCTGCTGTAAGTTTTATGAGGGAGGGGGGTGGGGGGAAAGAACACTGTAGTAGGTATCTATCAGTTCATTTGTAACTAAGTAGTAGATGTCGAGGGTTTGAGAATAGTGAAATAAATGGCTTTGAGATTCTCACTCCTGTTTGGAAAGCTAATTACATCAATGTAAAACAGAAATCTTTTGAACGGTCTTCTTTTCAAAGTGACTTGTTTGGTCCTCCTAGCTCTGAGCTACAGTTGAAATGCTGAAGAAGCATTTTGGCTTCTTTCCCAAAAGCATGCTTAAAGAGGCTAGCGGCAGCATCTCGCCGTGTTCCCTCCGTGCGCTTTACCTCGTGAGTGGTGCAGCTTGTTCTGCGGATGCCCTGAAACCCTCCCATTGAAACTGCAGTGGAGAAGAATGGAGCTTCGTGCCCGGTAGAAATCAATGCTGTCGCAAGGCTTCAGTGAAACAGGAGCCACAAAGCTATATTTCATCAGCCGAGCATGAAGACTCTGCTAGCTTTTTGTCCTTTCGGCTGATCTGTTTTTGCTTTCTGTTTCCTTCTAGAGAGATGTGGATAATCTGCCCTGCCTCCAACGTCTCTTTCTCAGCTTCAACAGTATCTCTAGGTAAGTGGCCTGTTCTGTCTTCATAGCTTGATTGTGTGGCTTCTAAATTGAACTCAGAAATCCTGGGAGAGTGGTATTGACATGTAAGGTTTTAAATCGGCAAATGACAGGACGGTCTTAGGACAGAGTTCTCTGTGGAAGACCAAGCCCTCGGTGGATTAGAATGATGCAATGAGGCTAGCCTGGGCTCTTGATTTCATTGTGCTCTCCGGTTGCCCTTTCCTAAGACGCCTGTACAGGGGGGTTTCACCGTCCAGCTCGCCGTCCTTTGTTTGACATTCACTGCACTAGTCTGTTCAATTAGACTCTGCCATAGATTATCATATAAAATGTGGATCCCTACTAAGTTATTTTAATACAGAGGGCTATATTTGTCACCATGCCACTTGCTAATTAGGCCACAGCCAACCTCTAATGTAGCATCCTTCTGTAATGCTGCGAGGACATAGTATTAGAATATGCAGACTTATTTTGCCTTCTCGGAGTTTAAAGCATTACCCTTTCTATGGTGGCGATGTCCCAGTCAGTGTCCATGTGGAAGGTTGCAGAGCTGTGGCTGAGCCAGGCAGTCAGACTTCAATGTGCAAGGGACCCCACTCTTCCCCTCCCCTCCCCTCCCCACCCCTTAGTTCTAAGGAGGCTTTAGAACTACTTCTAAATTCTTGCTTTCACTTTCAAAACTGTCCTTTGAACCAGTTTTTATGAGACCATAGAATGCAGTTAAGTATACCAAAAGAGTTTACAGCATATCTCTTCTTATACTCTGGGTCTGTGCTTCTGATTATTAAAAACCAACCCAATTTTTGTGCGTTTTTCTGTTTGCATATTTCCCCTCCTCCATCAGACTTTAAGTATTAACCCCATCTCCCTATAGTATTTCTCTGAAGCAGAGATTATCTCCAGATGGTGAGCTTTACACATAGGCATAATTTCAAAGAAAATACTCTCTTTCTTTCTCTCTCTTTTTTTTCCGGTGGTAAGAAAATATCAGAAGTGTTCTGAAAGGCTTTTCATGCGCTTCTTAGTTGATGCTGGAGCGCAGTGATCCAGCTGCCCATCTTGTAGAGGAAGGATAGGTTTCTTTCCGAGGACGCGAGAAGAGATACTCCTTTCCCTTCAGACGTTTCTGCCTAAAGACTGTTCATGATCATTAGCATATCTCATCATGTGTGAAATACTAGCTTTTATGATAGAAATGGACCACTTACCTTATTTCTCATCCTGTTTATGGGGAATGATTCAGAGAGCGCTATAGACTAGAGTAGAGAAGCAACCCCTGTTTTATGGACAAGTAATTCCACAATCTGTCTGTAAATGGAATTTGTAAGGGGAATTGCAACAGTTTGGTACGGTTTGTTTCCAAAGTCAATTCGTCAAATATTTGTCTTGGAAGACATAGTGTATCTTTCCATTCATGGAAGCATTAATAGGAATTAATTACTTCCAAACATCCATAACATATTAATATAGTAATAATACTGCCTTGATTCAAGCCTCAGAGTAGCACCTATTTATTATTATTAACCATTGCATATACATAGAATATTTAATACCATTGACTTCATAGGGATTGGTTTGTAACTACAGGTTGTACATAAGTCTTAAGTTCTGGCATTTACACAGACCTGGGGACTGTCCGTATAAAGGCTATTCTGTCCCTCCGCCCCAGGATCCCAGAACTTCTGAACTCATGGCTCCACAGGGGACTTGGCTTCGCTTACTTGTGTTGAGGATATTTTCTCCCCAGTGTGAAAATAAGTTTCATTCACCCAGCAAAATAAAGAAAAGATTAATAGAAATGCTATATATAGTACTTCTATTAATCATGTCTTTTGCTGGGTGAGCAAATACGTATGTGTGTGTATATATATATATATTTAAATATTTTAATTTAAAATTTATATTTATTTAACTTAAATTAATTAAATTTAAGTATATATTTATTTAGTTAAAATTTTAATCTAAAATTTATATATTTTTGAAATAAATATATTTATTTAAATAAATACATGTATTTATTTAAAAGGCATAATTGCTCAAGAAATTGAGATAAAAGCAAATCAACTATCTCAAGACTTTTATTCTGTTAGGCCCCATAAACACAGTCATTGAGTCCATTTAGACTCCTCTCATGCTTCCAGCTGATCTGCTTTTGAGGCTAAGTACATTTTCTGCCCTATTGATGCAAGTGGCCCAAGAGATATGGGATACAGAATATATTGGGTCTGAGAGGGGGAAATTCACAGGAACAAGCCTTAAAAACAATGATGTGAACTGTAATAAAGCCAGAAATATCTCAGCTCACTGGGATTTCAGGTGGTCTGTAGTGATTGCAATTGTATCTTGTTGTGGGACTGACACCGTGGAGTTGCTTCAGTATGTAGTTCATGGGCCTCTCTGGAGCATAGGACTTAAGAAGCAGCGGATAAGGTTGAAAGTACTTTCAGAGCTCCCTCTGGGAAACCTTCTGCTGACATCCTGCAAATGAAAACATTCAGTTATACATATCCACCCATGTTGGTGGGACAAAACGTGTTGATTGTGACATAGTACAGCTTCGTAAGTTTCAACCAAGTTGTTGGGTTCTTAGTGATCTGTTTGTTTCTTCGCATAACTCTAAGGTGCCCTGTGGAAATTCAGGAAGTTCTAAACTGTGATGGCACCCTGAGATGTCTAACGACTATGTACCTGGATTTCATGATGAGTTGACCATCTGGTTGACTTAGTGGTTAGAACCTTTTTTGCATGTTTCCCTAGAGATAGTAGAACAATGCATTAGTTCCATCAACAGACATGCAAGATGTATTTAGAAAATGAGTAACATGTATCCATTTCTATATATCGAAACAGAACTAGTGCTCCTGTTTAAATACTCTTCAGAGCTTTCAGAGTCTAATGAGGAAGACAGCACAAATGAGTACTGACAGGCCAGTGTGTTGAAAGTTAGTGGTGGTGATAAGTAAAGATATTAGCAGAGCACAGCCTGGGAAAGGGTGTCAAGGAAGCCTTCCCAGAGGATGATGGTTCCAGAGCTGAGCTCTACGCCGCGCTAAGTAGGTCTTAATGAAGGATGGTTGGACATTCCAGGTAGGGGCACAACATGGACAAAGTGGATTTGGCAAGCTCAGTGCAAATCTGACCCTCTCCCATCCACCTTTCCCACCACTAAACATTGACCCTCCTGTAAGCCCTGGAGTACCCAAGGGGTTCACCAAAGCATTGTGATCGTAACCCCGGGAGAAATATGCAGCGACTGTTGAGAGGACCTAAAGTGATAGTTATAGCTCACTCACTCTTCAGCCTATTGATTCTAGTATTAACCCTTCTTCTGCATGATTTTCTTTCTCTTGGCATTCATAATCCTAATTTCCAAGTAGTTTGATTGTATATAGTACTCTTAGTTGTTTACTCTTATTTTGTGGATGAGATATATTCGGGCATCTCAAAAGTACTAGATATCATTATTGTAAAGTTTCTCAATCACATAGTTTACTTTTGTTGGTGGTGCTAGTATTTGTGTTCGTTCTTAAGCTGAACAAAGCACAGAATACCCTGCTTCTTTCTTTTTATGATTCGCGATGGACAGTTTAGATTTGTTTCTTCGCCGTAAGTTAAAAGTCACCATGAACGCAGAGTACATCTGTCTGTGTTGATGGAAGATTTGGAACTAGGGAGATCTCTACCCAATTAGGTTTTCCTATAGGATGCAGTCAAGGAAAGGATCGTGGTGGCACAGTGGTTAAGCACTTGGTGGCAAGCTCCAAGCAGCCAACTTCCATAAAGATGTACAGCCTTGGAAAGCCTATGGGACTGTTCTACTCTGTCCAACAGGGTCATCCTAAGTCGGAACTGACTCATGGAAACTGGTTTAGTTACTAATCAAACAACTTGCCTTTTGGGAACTGGGCCCCCTTATTCATCTTAGCCACCCAAACTCACCGAGCGCACTGCCCGTCTTTTCTCTTATTATTTTCAAACCGAGAACAATATGGAAGTTGCCCACTCATGGAAAGAGCAGAAAAAAACTCTTACCACTTCTTTCTGAGCTAGAAGACCGATCCACGTCTCCCAACACTCTAGGAATTGGTCTCAGGTGCTACCGGCAACATTTCCTTTACGCTGGAATGACCCCGTTCGTTTCAGGCTCTTCAGCGATTTGGGGTTTTACTGATTCCACCTGCTTTGTATCTTCCTGAAACGCCTTAGTGCTCCGCTCTGCTCATGGAACTGTTCCCAGTTTCCAGTTCTGCTGTGGGTATTTCCATACTTTCATGTCCAGTCATTTCATAGAGTTTGGGGAGGATGGAGAGGGAAGAGCATTCTCACAGCTGCCCCCTTTTTGAGTGTTTTTTTCCAAAGAGGCTACACACACACACACACACACACACACACACACACACACACTTAAAAGTACAGCCTCTGGTTCACTGCTGGATAATCTGCTCCAGTGGATTTGGGAGCAGGCCCAGGATCTGTATCTGTATTTTATTTTATTTTTTTAATTCTCTTCAGAGGAGCTTGCTGTGCCATTTAATGCTATATTTGGGGATCACTGAACTGCCACCCCCAAATGAGAATGATTAATTCAGACGTTACTATTTGATGCAACATTATCCCTAACCCTGCCTCCCCCAAAGTAAAGTTTTCGAAATTATTGCCCTCATAATATAGTTTATGACCTGCAGGCAAAACCTGAATGTTCAATCAGTTTCAACCCCTTTCCGGTGAGCTAGCTGTTTTATTACAAGATTAGTTTATACTTCGTTCTTCTCTTCAGTCTCTCTCTTCTTTCATTCTGTGGTGCGGAAAGTTTTAACAAGTCCTTTTTTTAAACTGGATAAATGCCATTGAGTCGGTTCAGCTCCTTGAGTCAGTTCAACACTAGATAGGCTTTTGAAGCTGTAAGTTTTTTTGGAGTAGACAGCTTCATCTTTCATCTGGAAAAGGTCGGTGGGCTTGAACCGCCAACTTTGTGGTTAATAGTCCTGGGCTTGTCCAAT